GTTACAATGGAAATCGAGTATTATAGCTGAGTGAATTATGAATGTGCAGTGAGGACCTGTCTATCGAATTATTCTGTGTATTTGGCAGAAAATAAAAACCAAACAATATTTAATGAATATCGGTATGATAAAGCAGTGTACGTTTTTTTAAATGAATCTCAATAAGTAGAAACAATAGGCTTAAACTTATAAAGCAGTTTAAAAACAAGTTTAAAATGTATTTATTTATATTTTCTGTCGTTGGCATTTTAGAAATTGAAAAACTGCATTTATATTCTATTTTGCTCTTTATCCTATGTTGATTATCTCATTTTAAAGGAATGCAAATGCCTGTCAATGCATTTAATTATACTGTAGAGCAGTTTTAGGATGGTTATATTATTTCAAAAAATTACACAGGCACTATTCAAACAGAACAGTACTAGTACCATGCTTTTTTGTAATATTTTCAGGCCCAAGGTGGACCTACTAGGTCTAGTATCGGTGGACCTACTAGGTTTAGTATCTGTGGACCTACTAGGTTTAGTATCTGTGTTATCATATCATAAGATCAATGGTGTTATCAATAAAATCAGATAGGCCTACAATATTGTTATGTGTATTTCCTCATTTGAGTATCTCATTGTTTTTTGGGATTTTATTTTTATATTAATAAGTCTTGTTTTTCTCATTCCTGAAAATGACATGGTAAAGGGTTGATGTTAAAAATCACAGCTTATCTCATTAGATTTTGTTCCAATTACTATTTGTGTTTATCAGTATAAAAATCATTATGCAGTAAGCCTACAATTGTTTTTGTTACCACTACAATCAATCCTTTCTAGAACTATATGTGTATAATTCATCAGGCCTACTCTTAATACTGTAGTTCTATTTTATGGTTGCTTTTAATTAATCCCCATCACCATCCTTGTGCATGCTTCTCTCCTCCTTGGTGGTGCATTCGATGGCGTATCTCTGGGGAAGAGGGGCGCAGGGGCGCACACCCCCAAAAATTACTCGCACCCCCAGTTACCCTCCCCCCCCCCCAGAAATCACAGTCGTGTGGTTAAAAATCACCTAAAATCACCTTATCTTGCTGTCTCTTATACACATCTAGATGTGTATAAGAGACAGCTCATGCACTCTCCTTTGTGTTGTATGCACCCTCCTCCATGATGCTTTATGCACCCCTTCCTACTGTATGTATTCTTTTTCCCTCCCCTCCCATGTATTCTTAATTCTGCCTCCCCTAAGTATTTTGTACTTTTCTCTGGCCCTATAATTTGGTTGTTCATTCATTCATTTTATTCAGCCAGGAACAATATATATAAGCATAAGAATAGTAATGAAGTAATGTCATGGAAACAAGCAGAAAAGGGGAGGAAATACAATATAACATTTGAAATGTCATATATTAAAAAACTGAGTGGCAAGAATCCAAATTATTAAAAAGTTCAAAGGCAATTTTTCATCCTTTCTTGTGATTTTTTTTTGTTCCCACCCCCACTCCCTGTGCTTCACTTCTTGTTCAGTCATCATTCTATTCTTCCTCCACTTTTTTCATCAATTTATTTTTAATATCATTTTTTTCCCATTTAACCATATTTCCTTTAGTTTTATGGTCACCAGGCTCAACCTCATAAACTTTACACTTAGTTTTAATTTAATGGTGACCTTTTCTGTACAAGAAAGAAACTTTCTTGAGTATTATTCATCATTTACCTACCCCAGAACTACAAACATTGGTCAATATGCAAATAATATGTCATATCCCATCATTCCGTAAGGCTCTGTCTTCATTTTTTGTACCTTATTTCTTCAACCCTGTTTTTTTCCTAACTTATGATCCTTTTATGTCAACTGTTGAATGAACAAATTCAATGTTATGAATGAATTATCAATGGTTTTTCTGTATTTTAGCTAAACAGTATGTAAACTACAATGTGTTAAGATGCTGATACAATTTACTGTTTCATGAAACTCAGGGGAAGAAGCCTTTTGTGAGATGTGGTAGTCTCCCAGAAATCAGTATGGTATCCTACATTTAAGTGAGCAAGTGAAAAAATTTCCCACAGACTTTCAACCCATGTTTCACAAATTCCAGAATATGTTTCTACTACTGTATCGGTTAGGTTCACACTAAAGCCTTAATATCCAGTTCCGAAGCTAACCGTTAGCCCGACCTCTTAGCGCACTTGTAAGAACTTGCGAACTGTTAGCTCTAATCGTTCCCAGTAAGTGGATACGCTTTCGGTTGAGCTCATTTCTGTCATTAACCAATCAGATGTATAAATTTCCAATTTCCTATTGGCCAGTGATCCCACCGTCATTTTCTTGATATCTGGATCAGGGATTTTCTTGCATGAATGCAACGGTGAGCGCGTATCTTAATAATCTGGATCCTGTTCACCGTTAGATGGTGTGTGTGAACATACAACTATTACTATTATCTTCCTGAAGTGGGTTGTGCGCTGAAAGACTTGGGATACCCATGAATCAATAGGTTTTCTCAAAAAATATATAAGTACTGTATCTAAATTCAAATATGATACATTTTTTACTGTTGATGCAAATTTAAAATATTTCTGATTTATGGTAACTTGTAAAATATATTTTGGAATTGCTGTAGGAAAGACAGCTATATAGAAAGAAAAAAAACCTTAGAAAAGTAATTTAACAGGTAAAAGAAAATGTTTTAAAATATGATTCAGATTCTATTTTAAATTTATCGTCATGGAACACATTAATGGTGTCATGAAAATTTACGATAATGCTTTTTGAGTGCTTTCATATTTAACAAGGGTACTAGCAGTATAATAGAATATATTGTACAAAATACTGATGCTGTCCAGTAGTAGTAGTAAATAATTATTATTATCATAAATAAACAGTTTTATTTCATTCAAATTAATTAATTTGGTAATTTTTTGCTTTTTATGATATTAATCCAACAAAACTTTTCTTACAATTATTGCTTTTATATCTTACCTTATTTAATAATGGTTTATAAATTATTGGGTAATTATAATTTAATATGAGGGCATCGCTTTTTTAACATTTATATCGCATTGTCTTCATTCATGTGGCATATAGAACTGAGTGCGATGTATGATAGATGGTGAAGATAGTCATCCTAAATTTTAGATATGATTCATTTTGTGGTCACCAAGTGGGTGCAGAATCAATCACCTCAGTGTACAAACAGGGAGGTTCTGTAAGAGGTGCAAACCCCTCCGCTCATTTGGGAGTTGCTTTCCTATTCAAGCATATAATTTGATAACACAGACCAGCCATTTCAAATAACTCACTCCACCAGTTAGGCATAACTGTACAAGCTCCTGAGTGAAAAGCAGGGAGGTAATTAATGTCAGCATCTCCCCATCTTCCTGGTGTTTTGCTCAGGCAGTGTGACAAACATTGGACACAGCCTATGTCTTACCACTTTTACATGAGGAAAATTGTGGTGTTGATGATAATAACAATAATGATCACTTATAGTGAATTGATATTAATAAAAATGATAATAATTTTGATAAAGATTTCTTTTTGATGATCCAAAAATTGAATTGAATAAATGCGTAAACTTACGTTTTTATTCTCTAGCTTTCGCTGTTTTCAACACAGCTTAATTATGAGTGAGTCCATGCACCTTGGGAATCTTTATCAAATACATATAGAGATCCAGATGAACCTTTTCACCAATGATAATAATTTTATTTATTTGAGCGCCATGAAATCACCATAGGTATTGTTTTTTGCCCGATGCCATTCACAACTCCAGAGTGACATGGTAATGGGGACGGCAAGTATACCGTACATGTTATATGAATAAAAATAATAATAAGCAGAATAATATAGCAATAAAGTATGATCATTTTTTGTAGTTTTTGAATATATTTATTTTGCCGGCGGAAAACAGATCTCTATACATACATGGACGAATGAAAGTATCTGAGTGTGACATGCTTAATTTTATTCATTAGAATTTACAATCACATTACTCAGTTTTCTGAGTAGACAACAAAATAAATAAATTAATCAGCTGAAAAAACACATCTGTAGTACCATGATTCTACAATGTGCAGAAGCGTTTGTTTTAGCAATTGTGTGTTTTCTGTACAACAAACCATAGTGACTTATACTTAAAGTGTGAATGGTGAAAGCATTCAAATGATGATCATTTCCATGTTACAAAGTACCCACTTAGAGAGTGTAGCTAGATGAATCTTACAGTTTGTTGACAGAAAATACTGGATGTCAGTATCTTTAAAATACTCTTGAACTTGCTATAGAACCTCAAGGTCAAAATTGTCCTTACAACCACTAAATATTTCAAAATAGATTCCAAAAATATGCCCCTTTGATTTTCGAAATAATTGGTGTGTCATGAATGAGATATTTTTGGATGTTAATGAATGAATGATATATTAATGTTTCCAATTTAGTGAAGGGGATGCTTTAAAAGTGCTCTTAATTTCCTCTTTTTTGGGAGGGGGTGTTCCTTTATTGATCTGGTTTGTTTTTTTTTTCTTTTTTAAGGACTAAAGTTGGTTGTACTTATCAGTGTTTTTATTTTCAATTACTGTACAAATTGTAATATAAAACTACTCTTTGGAAAAGAAGATGGCTAACACATTGATCTCTGTTTCTTGTGTCTACAACAAGTACTAGTGCAGTGGCCGCATAGAGCAATATTAATTACCTACTATTTGGATTCAAATTTCCAACAATAACTATATGTATTCCGCCATTGAAAATTTATGATGAGTACACAAAATTATATATAATTTTGCTATCATTAACATAAAGTGTGATTGAAATTAAAAGTAAAAATTATGTTAAGATAAACATGCACATATAACTATGTATATAGGCCTTATACCCATCTGACGTTTATAGAAATTAATGAAATTAGGTTTGTGAGTGCAGTGTGAAGTGCTCAAGTCTGTAGGCTATTTTTCAGCTTGGGGTGAATGGCATCATATTGTTATTCATTGTTATTATGTTCTGATTTTCAGATTTAAAGTAAAAGCCTGTGCATGTAGGAATCCTAGTAAACATGTGATCAGGTGCTGGATATGTCTACTGAAGCATGACTTAGGAGCTGGCTATGTACTGGGATGTATCAGCAGACAGGTACAGTACAAATTATGGTACTTCATGGACTGCACAATGGCATTTATGAGCCCAATCACACTTAATAGTTACATCGGCTCAGGGCCATCTTGTACCATAACATTCATGTAAAAACCAGGCACAAAGAAGGAAATGTGAACATTCGCAGTGCGACCCTGAGCCAACTTTAAAAAAATACTAACCGCGAACGGAACAGCCATTTTTAGTCGGCCATTTAGAGCGGCCCTGGGCCGATATATGTGTGACTGGGCTCTATTTTACCGTAGGCCTACAAAGTGCAAGGGAAATATATTCTGTACTGTGTAATTGTAGTGTAGGCCTATATTTACGAAAGTATAATACACACTCCAAGTATTGAAATGCACGCCATTGTGTTAGGATTCAATATTTCGACATTAATTATGTCATCATCAGGAATGATGAGATATTTATTATATTTACATTTCTTAAATTAAAAATGGGATATACAGTCGAACAATTTTTTTGGGTATTCAAAACAAAATTTATTTTAGGTAAATTTAAATCACTTAAAATTAATATTTGAATTTGTGGTGATATCACAATGTAACAATATGTAATAAGGATGAGGGGGTAGGCTTAAGGGATTTCAAAAGCTTGACCAACAGAGGCAAGGGTATTTTGAGGCAGGGTGACCATGGTGCAATAAAAGCAAGGGAAAGGCCATCTGGTGACAGGGAAACCAGGGGCCATGGGCCACCATGGGCAGGACCACAAGCAATAGGGCAACCAAGGGCTGGGTCACTATGAAGCAGGCCTACCAGAGGCATGGTAACCAGGGGTAGCGTCTCCCAGGGCAGGGCCAACAGAGGCAGGGTCACCAAGGGGCTACAATAGGTCACCAGGACAAGGGTCACAAGGATAATGCCATCAGGGCCTTCATTTCATTAGGTATTAAATTTAGTACAGTTAACTGTGGAACTTTTTCTCACTATCCCTTTTAGGATCTGTCACTACAATAAACCCTCCTCCGAAGAGCTTGTTAAATAACATTGGTAATGATAAATTTATAATTTAATTGGTTAATTCAATTTATATATTAGACATTAAGGATTCCATTGGATTAAAGAGTATGAATGAATTTGATCCTTGCTACTGGTTATGGTATTATGCTGTAGACTTAAATCATGGACCTTGCTTAAATTAAGGCTTGCTGGCATGGTAGTATGACGCTATTATGAATAGCATTATAGTACATCATGGACTATAAGTGTAGGCCTTGGTCATGTGATTATAGAATAAGGATAACTGCACCATTCGATGTATATAAATTAATATACTTTTACTCTACAGGCTGGCTCTAATTAAGACTCTAATATTCAATCATAATCCATGTTTCTTTCCTAGAACCATCTCAATTAATCTTGCAGGACAGATTAAGCATTTCTGAAGCACTGAATGCTCAGCCTAATTTTTTAGGTGGAAGGTAGATCAAAATCAGAGAGAACATTTTTTTAGCAATTGAAAAGCATTTTAGTAGGCAATTAATTGCATTTCTTAAATAATAGTCAAGGAATGTATATTAAATGTATAGTACTGTATTGTATATTCTATACGAAAGTTCTATATTGGGATAAGCCATCCATACCAACAGCCAGTGGATTTATACCATGATATAACGGGCATAATAAAAGTGAACACTGTGTGTTATATGGATTTATGTACTGCACAAACACTGCTGTATCAATCAAAACTGACCTAAGATTATGGCCTGCAAGAATATAATTGTAATCTTGAAAGTAACTTGTGATTTCTGAACATATAGTATCATAGACATTGAAGATTGCCATGCATGAAAAGGAACAGAAGATTTTTGAACCATGATAGTACCAGTCATGGCCACTGAAGATTTTGATATACATCAAGGATTCCAAATATAATTTTGAATGAAATTTTGCAAGAACCATGGAATTTGACATAAATTTTAGCCAAGAACATTAACTGTCACTAAAAGTATGTTATGACATCAAAAGGAACAGAAGATTTGAACCATGCCATTTGTATGGTGTCAGTCATGGCCAAATTGTACCTCCATGGAAGGACCAATGATTTTGATATACATCAAGAATTCAAAATATAACTTGCAGTGATTTTTTTTGCAAGAACCATGGAATTTGACATATCAATTTAGCCAAGAACATTAACTGTCACTAAAAGTATGTAATGACATTAAGAAACAGTAGATATGAACCATGCCATTGTATAGTGCCAGCCATTTTGATATACAATAAGGATACCAAATATAATTTGCAATGAATTTTGAAAGAACCATGGAATTTGACATCAATTTTAGCCAAGGACATTAAGGAAGTATTTTTAGTGTTAATTTATATACTGTAACGAAGACTTACTGTATTTTAACCAAAGGAAGTGGCAAGATCATGTGATTTAGGATTGAATTATTACAATAAGAATGTGCACATAACAATGGGCAGTGAAACAAAAATGGAAACAACTTTTACAATTCTATTAGTCTTAGAATATTCTCTCGGAAGGCATAAAAACAACCAGTAAGGATTCCCAAGAAAACAGTGATCAAGGAGTAGAATTTGTCTGGAATTCACAGATGACATATCAGAATCTATTGCAACTCCCAAGAAAATGGGAGTTAAGGACTGGTATTGAATATATGGCAGTAAGACTTGCTGATAACTGTGTATGACAATTATCTGAACCAGGGATATGGTAGCCTACATAACTTGACCTATGGAGACATACATTTGTACTGTACAGTGAATTATAATCAGTCATTGATTTGTTTTGATGAGCATGATATCAATTGTGGTGTAATAAATGGTATTTGTCATTACAGTATACAATATGTATGGTTACATTAACATGTTTGTTTTCCTGAATAAGAAAAAATAAAAATAATTATAAGAATGTAACACCACTGATGTACTGTATATTGCAGCTAATGGTACTGCTTAGACTTAATTAAAAACAAAACAATGCCATCATATTGTAGCCGTAGGCCTACACTGTCGTAAATTCTGATTGGTGTTATTTCATATCACATAGTTATGTCAGAGCTAGCTCAATTCAACAAAAATCACCTTTTTACTCGTGTTAATTTTACTTTCTCATTGGTGTCTGACTGGTGTTATTTCAAACCACATAGTTATGTCGAAGTTAGCTTTATTAAAAGGTGAAAAGTAGTGTGTGTATCATGGTTGTCTTTATTATTTTGGTTTTCAAATCAGGGGCACACCCCCCCCCCCCATATCACAAAAAAAAAAAAATTTTTTTTTGTTTTTTGAATGGATACTCAATTCTAGAAAGGTTGATTCTATGTCACATCGCGCAAAGCAAAAAAAAAAATTTTTTGTTTGTTTTTTGAATGGATACTCAATTCTAGAAAGGTTGATTCTATGTCACATCGCGCAAAGCATAGCTACAAAGAAAGTTTAAGCGAAGATGCACCAGCATGGAAACTTTCGTGCAATCAATCACTCTCTATCGAGGTCAGCAGGTATGTGCTGTCAGACAACCCCATGCACAGTGCACATCTCCATTGATGACACCCCTTCAGTAGACTTACTCTTTTAATAAAGTACAGTTTTTGTGTAGACAACATTTGACACTTTTGACGTGCAAGTTTTACTTCCTTATTGTTTTCAAGTACAGTACCTATTTACAAGATATATTGTATGATATTGTATAATCCTGTTGTCTCTAATTGACATGAAACAAAGTAGGCCTACCTAAACCTAGGGCCTAGGCAAAAAATGGGGGGGGCATAAGGGGAGTATGCTCTCCCCCCCCCCTATTTTTTGCAAAAAAAAAAAAAAAAGAGGAAAGAAAAAAAGAAAAGAAAAAATTACACCCACAGTGTTGTAAGTCTTCTTCTCCTACCAAAAACACCCAAGGAGAGTGCTATTCATAAATCACTTGGTGATTTTTATGCTCGATGTTGCTGAGAAACTTCATCATGTTTTCTTGAAGTGAAATTTCTCTTTTGAAATGGTGTACATTTATGAGCCTTTGCATGTTGTCAAAGATTATGTTTGAGATGTTCGTGGAAGAGGCACTAAAACCCACAGCTGTGAGTTGATGAATTATTATTAATTTAATGAGACCTTCATAGTTGCATATTGCAGGTACCCTGTATATATTTAAATTTCTTTTAAAAGACATACACCTATTTTTTTCTTTTATTTTTTTTTACTGAAAACCACCATGCTAGATAATCAAAATCGACTCAATACAACCTCATATTCCTCAAATGTGCTGTGCTTCAAGGGGCCTTGGACCCCCACAAGGGGCTCTGCCCCTGGACCCTGCCAGGGGTCCTGGGTGGCCCCCAGGCCCCAGCCTGAGGCTGCTCGCCTCGCTCGCAGATTGCGCACCCCCCCCCCCATTTTCTTGCAGGCTGGATCCGCCCCTGCAAATTGTTGATTAAATCCTCCCTTTTTTCTCTGCCACTCACTCCACAAAAACACTACCCTAACAAAGTACAGTAAACTGTCTAAAGGAAAAAACCAAATACACAAAGCCGAAATATAAAGCCGGGTTTACTCCCAGGTGAATTTATTTGTGCGAATTGAAAGCGCCGGTTCATGCACATTCACATTTCCGAGTTTTTCGCTTCAGTGAAATCAGTAGTTTCTACTTTTTGTGAAGCGAAGAAAATGCGCAACCAATCAGACCTCAGGAAGCGAACCGACGCTTCGATTCGTGCGGATAAATTCGCCTAGTGTAAACTCGCTTGACGGATATGAATATAAATACTAGCATTTACATACAAATGTTTAAAGTTATGTTTTGTAATTAATATGGAAAGAAATTCTATAAAAATAATGATTATTTGATTGCACACTCAGAAGACCTTTACATCTGTGGTACATCAGAAATGAGATCTTTCTCCATGTCATTGAAGACTTTTTAGATTTAAAACTAACATGTAAGTATAAATTACAATAAATAATAAATGACAAAGTTTAAATCATATCCCTTATCATTTATTACATCTACATAATCTCAATGATAAATATTGTCAATGTATTTTTGAATAATGTTTTTCCTTTTAGCCAGATGGTAAAACACACCGGCTTGGTAAGCAAAATATATTACATTATTTACATATGTGTATTCTATAGACCTACGGTTCGCAATTAGTATTGTCTGTGAACAAATCTGGAAGAACCCTCAAAAATTTAATGAAGACATTAAGTTGCTCATAAGATTTACATGTGTTATCAGCTTGTATGCATTGAGATACAGATTGTAACAGTTTAGCTTTTATGAATTTTATACTAAACTAAAAAATGAAATATTAACCACTAGCCAATACAGCCAACTTAATATAATACAGACTTTAATTATTATTTTATTTAAGTATAAAATTTGAATTACTAATTAGCTTATAAGGTTTCAACTGAAAATTTGAAAATGTTTTTTGCAATTATGGAAAAATATCATTTCTATTGTTTCTGTATATACATCCCTTTTAGCAGCAATCTTGAGTTTTTCTCATAGTGAAAAACCTTGACAATTTTATTTGTGACGATAAAATATGATGAAATATTTGGAATATGTAATTCAACATTATTGTAATTAATTTTGGAGAGTTTTCTTTATTTTTTTCTGCAAGGCATTGTATCTAGATTCTAGACAATACAGTACAAAGATTAAAAGTAAAGAAACTGAACACTTATTAATAAAACAGTACAACCATTTTTTTTTTTTTTTTTTTTTTTTTGTAAACAAACAATTAAACATTAATATACATAGCATCTTCAAATAATCAGTTTTTGGTCTTCAACAACACTGAACACAATTCTCTATTTATCTCAAATGACAGGACATTTCACAACCAGAGAGCTCCTGCATACAGATGTGTATAAGAGACAGGCGCCGGTTCATGCACTTCGCAATTAGTATTGTCTGTGAACAAATCTGGAAGAACCCTCAAAAATTTAATGAAGACATTAAGTTGCTCATAAGATTTACATGTGTTATCAGCTTGTATGCATTGAGATACAGATTGTAACAGTTTAGCTTTTATGAATTTTATACTAAACTAAAAAATGAAATATTAACCACTAGCCAATACAGCCAACTTAATATAATACAGACTTTAATTATTATTTTATTTAAGTATAAAATTTGAATTACTAATTAGCTTATAAGGTTTCAACTGAAAATTTGAAAATATTTTTTGCAATTATGGAAAAATATCATTTCTATTGTTTCTGTATATACATCCCTTTTAGCAGCAATCTTGAGTTTTTCTCATAGTGAAAAACCTTGACAATTTTATTTGTGACGATAAAATATGATGAAATATTTGGAATATGTAATTCAACATTACTGTAATTAATTTTGGAGAGTTTTCTTTATTTTTTTCTGCAAGGCATTGTATCTAGATTCTAGACAATACAGTACAAAGATTAAAAGTAAAGAAACTGAACACTTATTAATAAAACAGTACAACCATATTTTTTTTTTTTTTTTTTTTTGGTAACAAACAATTAAACATTAATATACATAGCATCTTGAAATAATCAGTTTTTGGTCTTCAACAACACTGAACACAATTCTCTATTTATCTCAAATGACAGGGCATTTCACAACCAGAGAGCTCCTGCATACTGTAGGCAATGGATGGACAAAAATGAAGAAACAGGCCTATTTTGTAAGAGAGTCATCTGTTATCTAAATGAAAATGAATAAAACATTTCTGGTTGAGTGTTGTATGTGATACTCTTTGCTCATGCTCAATGTTACATTAACCGATTCTGATGATTTGTTTTATATTTTAAAGACTAACCTAGCCCTGCTTGCTTCCCCATAAAAGTTAACAGGACCAAAAGCAGACCACATTGCAAATAACTATAGAATTGTTTTGCTTTTATGTGTTTATATCATTTGATATGTATATTTTTATATGAATTTTGAATTAATTTAAGAAAAATGGGGAAAAATAAGAAGGTAAAAAAAATGCTGAAAATCTGTATCTAACAATTTCGTCGCTCACATCACAAACTAACACAATCAAAGTAGATTGTGTTAGTTTGTGAATTCACAGTAGCGCTTCAAAACGAGCATGTATTGGTTGACAAGCAATTTTGTATTCTTTACCACACAAAAAGTCCTTAACAACAGCGTGTATTTTAACGCGCTTTTTTTATTTCATGAACTAACACAATCTACTTTGATTGTGTTAGTTTGTGATGTGAGCGACAAATTGATTGGGATTATAAAATTACTAAAATAGTAAATATTGCTTATTTATATCACAATATTTTATTTTTTAAGACCATCTAATATAATTCTTGAAGAAATGCATACCGGTACCATGTAACATAATGTATATAATGTGTACCATGTACCATTACCGGTACCATGTAACATAATGTATATAATGTGTACCATGTACCATTAGAGTATGTGTCATGCTATAATTTGTACCATATTTATATGTACCAAGTATAATATGTACCATGTATATTTTGTAAGTGGAAAATAGTGCCGCAAACCTGCTTTCTTGAGATGGATGTCAGCCATATGAGATGACGTTATTATATTACAACATATTTCCAAGATTACAATATCAACTTAAGTTCAATATTAAAATAATCATAATATATTTATTTATTTATTTCCTCCAGTTTAATTAACTTGTATTGAACATATTGAAAACATGCAATGAAGGATAGTTAATTAATTACAAATTGGACTGATGATAATCTAAGACAGGAATGAGAGACTTTGGGAGGGCTGTCTTAGGAATTTTTTGTACTGGTATATTATATAGATATTTCAATTTATATTTTTCTACATTATTAATTTTATCTAATATTGCAAATGTCATTAGCATAACCATATTATTATTATTGTTATTGTTATATTATTATTGTAGGTTCTGGGCCTATTCATTTCATGAATTTGATCGTTTGTAATTAAACCGTACAATCTATTCTATGTTACAATGAATATATTTTTTTGGATCGTACTAGCCAGTCAAAGAAAGAAATACACTCAAGTAGTTAAAAATATTCCCCCCTCCAGAAAATTCAAAAGGCATGAAATCATACCAAATGAGCATCACTCAGAATTATATTTTATGTTTATAATCTAAGCACATGTAAATTGGATTGAGTTATTCGTGCATTACTGCAGCTATAAGGGGACCTACTCACAGCATTGACTGAGG